GTAGAAAAAAGTCTGCGTCTCCTGCCCCCGGCCAACGAAGTTTGACTAGTGATCCCTATTACCCGTCCGCCGAACAGCAAGCGGAGCTCAAAAAGCTTGAAGAGTCACTTATTAAGAAAAGCGGCATAATATATTTTGGAAAAGAGGTGTGTCATGATTTTAGCGCTTATGTTTTCGTAGACAATTCGTGCTACCAAAGATGATTTTTTTCACATGAAATGCCTGGGCGCTGGAACTTGCGGCGTTGTTAATCAGATGCGTCACAGGTCCCGTCCAGAATTAATTATGGCTGTGAAGCAGATGCAAGTTTCTTCAAGTTCCTCGAACGAGAACAAGCGTATAATGATGGATTTGGACGTGATTACTAAATGCAGTGGCTGTCCCAATATCGTCCAGTGTATGGGCATATTCTTTTCCAGAGTACGTTTTTCCTAACCATCGTTTTTATCCGTTAAATGAATAGTGTGAAGTCTGGATATGCATGGAGGTTATGTCAACATGCCTTGATAAATTGCTAAAGGATCTTAAACATCCATTTCCCGAGCCGGTCATTGGGAAGGTCGCCGTTTCTGTAAGATTTTTTTTGCGATGTAATTTGCCCACAGATAATCAAAGCATTGGACTACCTCAAAGTAAATCACAATATGATGCACAGAGGTTTGTTTCTTTTTCCTTTTTAATCTCTTTTAGACATCAAACCCTCCAACATGCTTATTAGTTCAAATGGGGAGGTGAAACTGTGTGATTTTGGCATTAGTGGACAGTTAAAGGATTCGATTGCCAAATCAACCCAATTAGGTTGTATCGGTTACATGGCCCCCGAGCGATTGGAAAAGCACCAATACGATGTCCGGGCAGACATATGGTCGTTGGGCATTTCTCTCATAGAGCTTGCGACAGGCCATTTCCCCTACGGTGGTGTAGATTTTGAAATCGCTATTGTCAGTAAAATTCTTCATGATCCTCCACCAGTTCTCCCAGCGGATGGAAATTTTTCTCAAGCTTTCCGTTCCTTTATGCAGAGCTGGTATGTTGGCATTGGATGCGCACATTTTATAAATTAAATATTTCAGTTTTTGATAGCATGCTCTTTTATTTTGATATTCTGCCTGGACCATAGTAAACAATTGTACTTTTACGGCCTTAACGTACTCTGCGCTCCTACCAGTCTTTATAGTCCCTCTGTGGAAACTAAGCTTTTTATCGTCGCGATATACAGGGGTTTATGCGCTTATTTTAGTAATATTCTCAATGGTCCTTATCACCTTTCTATCGCGTATGACAAAAAACGGTGGCAGAACTGTTTGATAATTGTTCCATTTGAGAAAATTCGTTTTTAATCTTCTTCATGCGATCTTTATTACGCCTATTTTCTATTTTTAGCATTACTCAGAAGTTTATAGTTCACCTCTAGGTCACATGAACCACTCTTTAACTCGTTCTTTTTTACTTTTAGCCTGACGCGAAATCAAGCGGATAGACCAAAGTACCCTGCCCTTAAGCGCACCGAATTTTATCTCAAATACGATGCTCCCCCTCATAATGTAAATGAATGGTATTCCAGTCTATCTCTCGAACATCGGAGTAAGGAGGAAGCACAAGAGGCGACGTTTG